AAAAAGCTCCAGATATTGCTTGTTCAAAGAGGACTTGACCGGCACCAGGAAAGATGAACGGTGACTATCCAAACTTTCACCAACTGTCTGAATCCCCCAAATCTGTCTCTACTATCAGAAACTGTCAATCACGTCTCATAAAACGTCAATGCCCAGCTCTTGCTACGCTCGGGCCACGCTGTTCATTGCAGTTTTTCAGAAACGCTTAATAGTAACAGACGCGAAAACCCAAAACACCGATTGGCCGCTTGGAATTCTTTATTGTAACACCAACATATAAAAAATATTTCTATTAAGGTCTGTGAACAAATATTACAATAATAAATCACATGAATACTTCTGATGGTTGTCTCCTGACTTCTTTCTGAACAGCGACCGATGAGACGATGACTGGCTGATTGATGCCTCCGCGAAAATTGGGGAAGTTGGGTTTGAGCAAACAACCATGAATTGATCGTTCAATCTTCAAGCACATTGACACTCCCCGCCAGAAAATGGGATCCATCCCATTTTGCCATCACGACCAATACACGTTGACTTGGATGCCACTGCGAGAACCTGGGTCACACGGACAGAGCTGAAATGGAAAACAAACAGAAAAGCCAACACACCACAGACGTACTCACAGCACAATCTCGCTCGTCGACGACGACATACACCTTCGAGTTAAAGGCATCCGCTCGACATCTTGCAACACAATCGCCACTTACTAGAATGACTCTTACAGAAAGCAACGTGACCATAGCACCACCTCATGATACTCTACACACATCCACTTATCTCTTCACCATCAATTACCATTGCGATCGCAAATATCACAAATATTCACTTTACCGTCAATCTCATCATTTTCAAACTTTTTAATAACAAAAGTAGACAATTTTGGTTCCTCCTCACAAAGCCTTAAGCGTTCTATATCTTCACTCTGACTAGTAATACCTCGTAAACTTGTGGAGTCAGAACTGCACTCTATTCAACAATGGCTTACCAGTTGCAATTACAGACTTTTTGATCAAACCGTAATCGTCACACAATTCGGAGTCAGGCCTGGAGTTTATATTTAGCTTATCATTGAACTTGCTCACTGATTCACTGTTAACCTTTGTATGCACCTCTTGCAAACGTGTAAAACACAACCGTGCTTGTCTTGCAGCTTGTATCTTATCTGTTGAGGATGTACCACGGAAGCTGTTACACTCACTAAGTTTATATGCATTGCTAGACATCATAGAGCCTTCTCGATATCCACCTCTCTAAGGCCCTTTCGTCATCAATGATTGCGTTTTACCCTCAGACTGCTGTATTCTAGGGGTGAGATGTAATAGACTGGCAAACTTGCTCATCGATTGATTGACAATATCTTTTACTAGTTTCAAGATATCATCAAACTTTGGCTCGATACCCTCATCCTCCATACGGGAGCTTATCTTCACCCACTTCCTTTGCAGTCGAGTGGGTAGGCGTCTTGCTATTACTTCTAGTATAAAACTCGAGTTGAGGTCACTCATGCAATTCATCGAAATCAATGCATTCTTGTAAATCAGCAAATTATCCAAAAACTCAGTGAGTGCCTGGGAGTCATCCTGTAATTGATCACCATTACCCTCAACAGCCTCGAATAATTTCCCTTCAATCATCGAAGGTCTTCCGAACCTTTGACGCAGTAGGCTCATAGCCTCGTAGTAGCCCCCTTTTGGCTTCATAAACTTACAGCACTGTATAGCTCTTGAAGCATCTCTAGTGCAATACCTCATCAAATACATAACTTCAATTCATCACTTAATAAAATCTACTCAGCATGATCTCAGACTCCTTTACTAATTGTAAATAATCAGCCGGGTTTCCATCGAAACACCGTGGTTCAAATTTAGGGAGTTTGATGTTCCTATTATCCCTGAACGGCGAAACAGTAGCATCTACCATGTCATGCTTAACATCAGACACATCGTTACAATTAACAGACAAGTCAACATGACTTACTCTCCTGTTTGCATCCAAAACGCTCTGTCCCTTCTTTGACCCAGGCATTGTTGAACTTGATCCAATTCCAAAAATGTTCCAGATATTGCTTGTTCAAAGAGGACTTGACCGGCACCAGGAAAGATGAACAGTGACTATCCAAACTTTCACCAACTGTCTGAATCCGCCAGAATCTGTTTCTACCCTGAGAAACTTACTTCACTGTCAGAAACTGTCAGCCGCGTGTCGTAAACCGTCAATGCCCAGCTCTTGCTACGCTGGGACTCACGCTGTTCCTTGATGTTTCTCAGAAACGCTTAGCAATAACGGACGCAAAACCAAAACATCGATTGGCTACTCGAGAATTCCTTACTGTAACACCAGCATATATCCGACTTTAAAATTAAGCTCTAACTGAGGTCTATGAACAAATATTACAACAATAAATCACAATATTACTTCTGACGGTTTTCTCCTGACTTCTTTCTGAACAGCGACCGATGAGACGATGATTGGCTGATTGATGCCTCCTCGAAAATTGGGGAAGTTGGTTTTGAGCACAACCATTAATAGATCGTTCAATCGTCAACTGCATTGACAGCTACTTCTAAATAAAGTACGAATTAGTGTGTATAACGATTTGGATAGTGGTCTACAATGGGCGACGGGATGCTGGACTATTCGAAGTGAAAACGCCGACTGAATACAAATTGCTTGTTCCAGTTCAAATAATTGACATCTTACTTTCTGGATGTTTGTAACTTCTGGATTACTATAATTACGGAATGTTGATGATTAAAATGCTTCAAATAAATTTCCCTCGAACTGGTGGTCTTCTTTTTCTTGTTGAGATGATTGGACGAGTAGATATCGAAGAAGTATGTTTTGTGACTCAGGACCATAGTTGCTAAGCTTCGGGTTAATATTGCGCGTGTAACCGTTGTGACCCTGTTGTCGATGCGGCTGAAGATTGAACGATCAATTCACGTTTGTTCCATCAAACCCAAATCCAGCAATCCAAAGTCCAGCAGAAGCATTGAAAATAGACCCAGAGACAACAGCGGACTTGATGACGCCATTGATAGAGAAGATGTGGAAAGAGGACAAAGTACCCGAGGGCTGGAAGAAAAGATACTTACTCAAACTTCCAAAGAAAGGAGACTTAAGTCAATACAAGAACTGGCGAGGAATTATGCACCCATCCATCCCAAGCATCATCCTGGAGAGAATCAAACAACCGTTTGATGAAAAACTTCGACCAGAACAAGCTGGATTCACGAGAAACAAATCATGTATTGATCAAATCGCCACTCTATGGGTCATCATTGAACAAAGCTTGGAATGGCAGTCACCTCTCTATCTCAACTTCAACTGTGTTCCGGTTGTAGAAATGTCTTCGGTTGAAAGTAGTAGGCTCCTACAATAAATCCGAAGTATACAACACGGTGTGAGTGGAGCAAGTAAGTAGAAGAGACCAGGGAGAAGACGAAGTCCCCAACAGCAGAGTGTATTTTTCAATTGTACACGGAAATTATCTATATTTCAACAAGAAGCGATTTAAACAAAAATTATGTACAATATCTCGCATTTATACAAGTACCTAAAAAGTGTACAATCACATTGTTACGTACTCAACAAGGCTAGCAACTTCACCACGTAAAAATAAAACCACACCTACTGAAATTTCAAACCCCTAGCTTAAGGCCCTGTCTCCCACTCGGAACGTAAAGGAATAAAAAACGATTTCAACAAATGAAAAGTTCAATGCAACTGAGTTTTCTAGTCAGAAGCGGCTATTAAACATACACAGATTTCATGTTATCCTTATATTTCTCATACAGAACATTCCCTTATCTTTTTTGTGTATTATTGCAGAGTTGACCAAATGGCTTGTCAAATTGATCGATGAATTAGATGAAAACGCATCAATAGAACCAATTTTTGCATTAATAGCTGCAATTTATTCCGTATTACATGCTAGCTGTGCAAAAAATGAAAAGAATGGAGCACTCATCTCTCTAACTGAAGTTGTAATGCACATTATAAATTTATTGGCAAAGTTCGATAAAATGTATAATAATAACATACCGTTTAATGTTTTTTATCCTGCATTGAAAGAAGCATGTGCATTCTTACGATCTCAAACAATCGATGATGATATGGACGTTTGAATTCGGTGTTGAAAGTGGGAATGCATGCACTATTGCTAAAAGTGATTTCTGTTTGGAAACATTTCTCAGATTAATCTCAAGTAAGCAATCTTGTGTGATGCTTAGGCTTATTTCATTATATTAATCGAAGAATATGATGTGACATATTTGTCAATATGAAAATATATTGTCGTAAAATGTCCTACCTCATATAACCACTTCATTAATTCAAGTTTAACCATGGACTACTGATAATTGATATCAGTTAGACAATCATTGCCTCAGGTGTGAGGCTAGCAACCCACCCTGTACACAAAATTGCTACAGAAACTTCAGAACGATGAATCTCCTCGCGCCAAAAGAAAAAGTCTGTGTGGGGACATGGAACGTCCGAACTATGTACGAGACCGGCAAAGCTGCCCAGATCGCCAACGAGATGAAAAGATACGGAATCCAAGTGCTGGGAATATGTGAAAGCAGATGGAACGGGAATGGACTCACCAAATTGTCAACGGGTGAATCAGTGATCTACTCCGGTCACCAGAAGATAACCACACGCAAATTGAAACCACAAGATGACCAATGTATAGGAGATGAATGGCGAGTAGGTAAGACGAATTATCCAGTGAAGGTGAAGTGTTAATGCAAGTGGATGCAACTACAAATGGTTGTGTATTTTGTAAGGTGTTGGAATCAGTAGTAGTCGAAAGATTAAAAGCTGTTCAGCAGTCACAGATTTTAGAACATGCAATAGACTACGAGCCGCCGAAACTAGACTATTATTTTTTTGAAGGCATAACCCTCTGAAAGTTCCATGAATATAGAGATACTCAACTACATGTGATTTTGTCGTTGTATTGTTTTGCCACTTTTAGATGATCCAGTTACTTCATGTCGCCAGGTGACTTCATTGTACCAAAAAGCTCTTCAGATGACAATAGTCTTCCACTGCTAATCAAACCGGAACCTGTTGGTTCATTGGAAGCCAATGCACAGTATAATATCGACTCGTGTCGCAACAATTCTCGAACACCCAGTTTCACAGCTACTCATGACGCTAGCCATGTGAACAACTTTGTAAACCAAGTGTCAGTCGTTCGTGAAAATACTCGCCTAGTTGGCGCTGACTCCAGATGTCAAAACCAGTTGACAATCGAAGAGGAAGAGAAAACAAATTATTCACATCACTTCCAGGTGATTTAGTTTCTGCAAAGACATTTTCTATGCTTGATGAAGCAGTAAGCAGTGTTCCCGAAGCAACGCTGGAACTAGTCACTTGAGCCACGGAAGAGCAAAGGTTGTTTGAAGCCTTATCATGTACTGAACGGATTGAATCGGAAGTACTTGTGCCAGTCACAGTGGAAGTGCATATAGACTGCAAACCATCTGAATTGTTGGACAACTGACATCTGGAGTCTGTCTGTCTGTCTGTCTGTCTCTCTGTCTGTCTGGCTGTTTCTCTGTCTGTCTGTCTGTCTGTTTTCGACATAGTCTTTATACCCAGGTAATCCTTTTTATTGATATAACTCGTCACTGGATTTTTGGTAATATATTGTCATTTAACATTTCCATGACTTGGATTATTATTCTCATATTCACCTTACCGATTCAATCCGTTCAGTACATGATAAGGCTTCAAACAACCTGTGCTCTTCCGTGGCTCAAGTAACTAGTTCCAGCGTTGCTTCGGGAACACTGCTTACTGCTTCATCAAGCATAGAAAATGTCTTTGCAGAAACTAAATCACCTGGAAGTGATGTGAATAATTTGTTTTCTCTTCCTCTTCGATTGTCAACTGGTTTTGTGTTATAACTTTAGGGAATTGAATGAAGACGTTTTCACCTTGCTCTGCCTGCGCCTGAACTAATCTGTCTATCTGCTCGTCGTACCTTCCGATTTAGTAAAGCACGGAAATATCAAAAGATAAAGGCTGGACTGTGACTGTGTATTGAAGTGCAACAACGATAAAGAAAGCCATGGTATTCATACATTTTACAAGAATATGGACAGCTAACAGCATTTGAAATAATTTATCTTAATAGCCAATAACAAAGTGCGTGAGAGATGATAATATACCATATGTGCGAGATTGACAGTCAATACCAAAATGTGTGAGAATGATAATATACCATATATACAAGATTAACAGTCAATACCAAAATATGTGGGATCCTATCACCTCTCCCCGTAAAGAGTGTAGGACTTGCTTTTTGGATCTATTTGAAAAGGTTTCGGAGCTCTTCTTTGTCTAGTCGACCTTCGCATGGTACTGAAATGAGTGTGATCTGTGTCCCGGGCTTCCGGCTGCGGAAGATTAAATGTATTTACTAATACTTCTAACGTGAGGTCTCGTCTCCCATTGTCAGGTCTATCTGACGCATCTCGTATATGATTCGTGTGTCTGACACATAACTGTCCTTCTACATTCGCTTTGTATGAAACCCTTCCTTTCTGCTCCACTATTTGTCCTCGAATCCATCTCGGAGGTGAATAGCGAAAATCTCGTACATAAACTTGCTGATACAATTTGAAAACTCGACGTTTAGCTCCGTGATGGCGATTGAATTGGTTTTCCAGTTTTGTATTTCTGCAGCCCTGCTTTACTTGCCTAGGCTTAATTGAGTCGAGGGCAGTTCTGATCTTTCGGCCAAATATAATTTCCGCTGGGGATAACTGATTTGGGTCGGAAGGATTTGGCGTCTTACGATAATGCAGCAAGAATCTATCCAAAATTTCTTCTGTTGTTCCCTCCCCCTTCGCTTTTGCATAAGCACGCTTAAAAGTGTCGACGAAACGTTCAGCCTGTCCATTCGATTGGGGATGATACGGGGGCTACGGATATGCTGGATGCCAAACTGTTTGCAGAAATCTGAGAACAGTGATGAGGTGAACTGCGATCCATTTTCGGACACCAGAACATCAGGCATACCAAAACGACAGAATAGTTGACGTAGGTGGGACACTGTTGCAATTGATGTGGCAGAATGCATAGGAAATATCTCTGGCCATTTGGAAAAGGCGTCGACACATATTAAGAAATGCATACTATTGAACGGTCCAGCGAAGTCAACATGAACACGGGACCATGGTTTGTCCGGTCGTGGCCAGGAACATAGTTCTGTCTTGCATGGACACTTTGATGCTTGAGCACATTTACTACACTTGCGAACGAGGTCTTCGATATGGTCATCGATGTTGGGCCAGTAAACATAACTGCGAGCGATCGCCTTCATTCTCCCAACACCAGGATGTGATATATGAAGCTGCCGAAGCACATGGTCACGAAGATTAGCTGGAACCACAACACGATCAGCAAACATTATGCCTCCAAAGCCTCAGGATGGTCGGGGGTGGGTGCCTTGCGCTGCGGGTTGGCCACCCCTCCGCACACCTCTTGAAATGCTCCCATATGACCGGGCGTCTTACATAGCCTCTCCTGAGGAAGTCCTACTCACTGCCTTCACGTGGCGGAGGTGTTTCTCACCAAAGTGAGAGGGCGAAAGCGGATGCCCGGCGCTCTCCACCGGGTTGACTGTCCATTGGATGACGGTCTAGGGGAGATTGCTAAACCCTGATTCCAAACCTCCAACGACTAGCGTATGAAGCTCACTGGAGCTCACCGGCAGACGTATGGACAAAGGGCTTGTTGGATGTCCTGGATGTCTGGCCCCATTCAAAAAGGCGTATGAACCGAACTCCGGTCACCGGCTGCCAATGGATAGTGGACTCCTTACTCCACTCCTACTGCCTTGTAGGTCACACTTGGCTGTGTGAAGGCTAGAGCTGCACTCTCAAACAAAAGGCCGAGCGATGCTGGGGACATCACTCGTACCAAATTCCCATGAAACTTCATGAACTCTCTTACAAATTACCGCGCCTGGGCAGCGATGATTCGAGACGTTCATGAAGCCGGCTCATCCTCCCGTAGGAGATAGTCGAAGTAAAGTAAAGTAAGTAAGTAATTCATTAACGATGGATAAGGATTGGCGTCGCTGGTAAAACTGTTTTAAAACATTTGAATGAACATGTGGAGGCCAGCCAAATCGGATGAACTTTGATACTTGCTGTAAAACTGGATCACGCAGTGTGTGTCTGGCAACCTCAACTGCAGTCACCGGAAGAAGTTGAGTCGCGCCTACCAGAACTCTGTTTACATCATCTTCAACAGAGATGGATGCAATAACAACATCCTCGCTTTCCAACTTCTGATGGCTTAGCAGCCGTGATAATGCATCTACCTGGCCAAATTCAGAGGTAGGTTTGTATTTGATATCAAAATTATATCCCAGTAACATGACAGCCCACCTTTGAAGCCGATTCGCAGTGTACACTGGAACGCCCTTTTTCGAACCAAATATCGATAACAGGGGTTTATGGTCAGTAAATAGGGTGAATTTCCTACCATGAAGCATTTTGTGAAACTTTTTGACTGCGAAGATAAGCGCCAAACCTTCTTTCTCAATTTGGCTATATTTGCGTTCGGTTGTATTCAGTGTTCTAGATGCATGTGCAATAGCTTTCTCCCTTCCGTCAGGAAAACGATGAGATATAACAGCACCAATACCATAGTCGGATGCATCTGCAGCAAGGATGATTTCAAGACTTGGATCATAATAAGTAAGCAGCATGTCTGACTGGAGTAACGATTTTACTTTTTTAAATGCATTTTGACATTCAGGTGACCAATTCCATTTTGCATTTTTCGATAACAGGCGATTCAGTGGAGCACGTATGTGATGAAGCTCTGGTAGAAATGCACTGTAATAGCTGATGAGGCCAAGGAAAGATCGCAGAGTGGCAACATTAGTGGGAGCGGGCATATTCTGAATAGCACGTACATTTTCTGGGTCTGGTCGACGTCCATGTTGATCGAAAATGAACCCAAGATACTTTACTGAATCCATGAAAAATGTACATTTATCCTCTTTAAGGTAGAACCCAAACTCTGACATTTTGGATAGCACAGCGTCAAGTCGATCAAACAATTCAGACTTACTACTCCCTGTGATTATCACATCGTCGAGGTAGACAGCAACACCAGGTTGGTTAGCAAGCATAGTATCCATGATCTGCTGAAAAATTGCGGGTGCTGGTTTCACACCAAATGGTAAGCGAGTAAACTGGTAGAGACCTCTATGAGTGTTGATTGTTAGCAACTCTTGAGACTTTGGTTCAACTTCTATTTGAAGATAAGCATCAGCAAGGTCAATTTTTGCAAAACATTTTCCACCATTAAGTTTGACGAATAAGTCTTCTTGAATTGGTAATGGATAAGCATGATCCTCTAGAGCATCATTTAACCCAGTTGAGAAATCTGCACACAGGCGAATGGAACCATTTGCTTTGCGTACAACAACTATCGGAGCAGCCCAGGGCGAATACGTTACTGGTTTGATGACACCCAATGCTTCCAGTCTGTCGAGTTCATTCTCAACCAATGTGACAGCAGCATACGGAACTGGACGTTTTGGACGAAAAATTGGCTTCGCGTTTGGCTTTAGAGACAAAACAACTTGGGTAAATTTGCAGCAACCAAGTTTGTCCTGGAAGACAGAAGCGTGCTTTTGACGAAGGCGTTGCAAGAGAGATTGATCAGATACATCTCCGGGAACAACGTTGTGTGGTGAGGACGAAACATTAGAGCATACTGAATTTAATGGTACATTAAAGATATGGAGCTTGTCTAACCAGTCAAGACCAAGCAAATTCAAATCATGGTAGTTTGTAACGTAACATACACCATTGAAGTGATGCTCACCAAACTGAACCTGGCAATTTATCTCACCCACGAGTTTCAGTATATCTCCAGAGGCATTCTTAGCGACATGCTCGGTCGGCAGAATCTGTGGGCAACCAAGTTTGCGCCACGTAGTTCGGGAAATTAAGGTGATATCTGATGCCGTATCCAACTGAAGACGAATACGTTTGCCGTTAATATCTAGTGTTATGTACTTACGTTTGCTGGCGAAATCGACTTTGGAAGTTGTGAAAATGGTCTGTACTCGAGGAGATTGTTTCGGCTTGAAACGACTACTTCTGTTCCTCACCGAAGAATTTTTCTGCGGTGTACAGTAACCCTCCTTATGTCCAAAACGGTGACAATTACGGCATTTATGTTTCTTGAAAGGACAGAACTTGACAAAATGCCACGAACCACAGTGCCAGCACACTGAAGGAGGTTTAGCTGAATTCTGAGACTGACGTGCTGTGTGCTTAACGGTGATCGGAGGACTTTTCACTGTGTTAATCGAACCAAATTCAGACGACTGTCGTTTGCACTCCACCATAGCAGTATCGTGCTTCAAGTTGATTAAACGTAGGCATTCTGCTGTCACCATTTGTAAAGTCATTTTCGGGTCTTGTTCCACGAGTGACAGAAGTCGAGTTCGTATGTCAGTATCTTCTGGGTTCTTCAACCCACAAATAAAAATCAAACACTTGAACTGATCTGATGTCATTTCGTGTGGTTTGAACCTTTCACATTCCTTGTTCACATAATCATCGGAAGGCATTTTTGTCAACTGAAAACATTGATACCGAATATTAAACATGGATGACTGTTCACCAAAGATTTGTGATAAAACGGTGACTGTCTCATCGAATGATAACTCACGTGGGTTCTTAGGCAGAATGAAGTTAACATATCTGTTGTGCTCAACAGTACCAAGTTTTCTTAGTAACAATCGGACTTTGGCAGCATCATCAAACATGTAGCATTCAATACGGAAGACGTCTTCGTAACGATTGAACCATGCATCAAATACGAGACCAGATATTGGGTCGTAGTTGAACTCACTGATGGAATTTGAGATGCTTTCATATTTGTCAGAATGAGATGTTGATGGAACTTGAATGGACAGCTTCTGAGTGAGAGCTTCGATTAATTTTAGTTGAGCTGCTTCATTCTGAACTTGCTGCTGCTGCAAGATAGATTTGAGATCGTCCAGAGAGATAGACATTGTAATTGGGTTGTAATTAACACAGTCAAAAATGTTATATAGCTGCGCTGAACAGAATAAAAACTGTCGTCGTTTGCTTGTTATAACTGCAATGAATTAAGGTAAAACCCCGTCGCCAATTTGTTATAACTGTAGGGAATTGAATGAAGACGTTTTCACCTTATTCTGTCTGCGCCTGAACTAATCTGCCTATCTGCTCGTACCTTCCGAAAATTTAGTAAAGCACGCAAATATCAAAAGACAAAGGCTGGACTGTGACTGTGTATTGAAGTGCAACAACGATAAAGAAAGCCATGGTATTTATACATTTTACAACAATATGGACAGCTAACAGCATTTGAAATAATTTATCTTAATAGCCAATAACAAAGTGCGTGAGAGATGATAATATACCATATGTGCGAGATTGACAGTCAATAACAAAATGTGTGGGAATGATAATATACCATATACACAAAATTAGCAGTCACTACCAAAATGGGTGAGAATGATAATATACCATATATACAAAATTAAACAGTCAATACCAAAATATGTGCGATCCTATCATTTTGACATCTGGAGTCAGCGTCAACTAGGCGAGTATTTTCACGAACGACTGACACTTGGTTTACAAAGTTGTTCACATGGCTAGCATCATGAGTAGCTGTGAAACCGGGTGTTCGAGAATTGTTGCGACACGAGTCTTACCTACTCGCCATTCATCTCCTATACATTGGTCATCTTGTGGTTTCAATAGACAGCGAACGCCAAACACCTGAAGGCCTAGTAAGTGTCAACACATCTCTACGTTTGATAGTATTTAATCAAAATGTCAAGAAGACTGCCGTTGTCCACATCTCTGTCAAACATCTGTCATCTGGGTGACTGACGACTCACTGAAGCATGACTACAAACACATTTAGGAAGGACAGAAATCAGTGTAGAGAAAAACAGTATGGTCAACACTTCAAATAATAAAATAGTACGAGAGCGAGAAGAAACAGACATCCGTAGGGGACTGTTACGAGAGTTCACTAATACTACAAATATGAGAATAATAATCCAAGTCAATGAAATGTTAAATGACAATATATTACCAAAAATCCAGTGACGAGTTATATCAATAAAAAGGATTACTTGGGTATAAAGTCTATGTCGAAAACAGACAGACAGACAGACTCCAGATGTCAGTTGTCCAACAATTCAGATGGTTTGCAGTCTATATGCACTTCCACTGTGACTGGCACAAGTACTTCCGATTCAATCCGTTCAGTACATGATAAGGCTTCAAACAACCTTTGCTCTTCCGTGGCTCAAGTGACTAGTTCCAGCGTTGCTTCGGGAACACTGCTTACTGCTTCATCAAGCATAGAAAATGTCTTTGCAGAAACTAAATCACCTGGAAGTGATGTGAATAATTTGTTTTCTCTTCCTCTTCGATTGTCAACTGGTTTTGTTGGTGTTTCGCACATTGAAAATCCTGTGTTTCATGAATTTATCAACGAGAAGTGTAATAGACTACGATATCCTCCTCAGTTGGCTTTGGAAATGTGGCAATTGTATTCATCATCGAATTTGCCTGTGGTATCGACCGACAAGCCTCCTATTTCGTGTGGTCAATATAAAAGTTCATCCTGCGGCACTCAACAACCGGATCGTGGGTGCTTGAAAACAGATGATAGTCATTTCAGTGTTAGTTTTTCGTGTGTACCTGTCAAATCCAATACCGTGATAGTGCATAACAAAAGTCGCCTTCGTACGAAAGCTCAAATGCGTGAAGTAAGCACGATAAAGGAGAGAACATCAGAGAAGATTAAGTTAGAAAATTGTAACAATAAGTGTAGGCAATCAGAAGGCTGTTTATCAGACAAAGAAAATACCAATGTATCAAATTCTGAGGTGGTAATCGTGTCTGTAAGTTAGAAGTTGTATTTATTTTTCATTCGCCTTCGTCATAGCTTACATTCTGCTGATTGATGCTTGTGATATGATATGATAGGTTGAACGTTGGTTAAAGGTGTGAATCTGGTGAATAGGCTGTAATTGATTCCACTCACTCTCCCTTTTAGTTAAATTTGTTTGAATGAAGTTCTCAATGAAAACTAAATTACTGGTTTTCAGTATAATCTCTGCCAAGGCTTATCCTTTGTATCTACCATGAAGTAGTAAGTGAGGTTGTGTGTATGAAACTGAAACTGTTGGCAATTTCAGATTTACAGGTATTTTGCACTTACGTATATATGTAGGTTTCCACCAATGGGGTATCAGGTTTTGTTTTATTTCTGTTTCTATAAGACATGTGGTTAACCTTGTGAACCTTGTTTCTTTTTGGATGACGAGGAGATATGCGAATCCGGTAGGTAACTGAATATTTTTACCAATTGTTTATAACCCATTTGATTTTATTATACGTCTGGGAGTTGCTTACACTAGGGTGAAGATAACAGTGATAGGACTCACGGTAGTGTTACGATAATTCGAGTGGAGCTTCTCAGAGGATGTTTTCAGATATTCTCTTGAAGCTTGTGGTGTGCTGAATAAAGCTTGTTGTAGACAGCAGAAAGCTATTGGACAGCTCGAGATACCCAACTTGCTTGACTCATTCTCATCCAAATTTCATTGTATGAAGATTCTATTATTTTTACTTGTTAATTTATTCTGCTTTAAGTTGACATTATTTCATAGTGAGACTAACGTCGTGACGGCGTGAGAGATGGTCCATTTCGGCACGGCGAGATTGTAGAAGTGCAGTGTTTTTGAGTTACTACACTTCATAACAGTGTCAGTCACTAAAATAATAAAAATATTGAAAAAATAAGTCAGCAGAGTCTGTTGAAATGCTGACACTGTTGGATATCACAAAGGGTAAATACAATGCGTCGTGCAGATTGTCCGTCATCACTAGTTGTTGAAGTGTTTACTGCTGAAGCTGAGGTACGTATATGGTTTGAACCTACATCTCGAGACTACTGCATGGTGTGGTGAGTACCTTGGTTCAACCACCTTTTGTTTCCCTACAGTCTAACACTACTTCAGGTAACATTCATGGGTAGATGGTAGTGAGCAGAAGATTTCAACCACCTCAGTTACCCTGGGCCTAGGGCCGCATCAGTGTATCCTGTATGTATACAGGTCATTTTGGATAAACACTTCTAATGTGATGTGTCTCCCTGTAACCAGAATACACATTGAAGAAACTTATTGACCAAAGCATTTTGTCACTCACATTCTTTGTGTTTAATCAGCGATTTCATGTAGTTATCTGTCTCCTACTCTGACAAAGTTTCCCTCTTGCTAAATTGTTTTGTGTACGTAACTTTGAAATTATTTTTGTGGTCTGACAACAATGTTCTATGAGAGTTCAAATGTGGTGGATTAATCTTAATCTGTAAAGATTTTATTGCATCATTGCTGGTGTCCACCTTCGAATTGGATGATTTTATACCCATAAATAAATGATCGTAAGAAAATTTGAGTAGTGTTTTGAGCAGGAGGATTTTGGAATTAACAATTTCCAGTTGGTGTTTTCGTTACACTGTAGTAACGTAGAAACATCCTGAAACTGTTCATTAGCGATGATGACGTTTTACTCTGAGATGCTGTGTCATTATTGTAACTGTTGGTGTGTCTCTTCTGACTTTACAGTATCGTATTTTGTAATGATTTATCAGAATGAGCTTTAATACTCTTCCGAGTGTTCACCTAATCTAGTTTATCATAAATTGCATGTGAAAAGTCGAGCTGTCTACAGAGTAATTTATAACTGTAAACCTTCAATTCTTTTTAAATTGTGATTGAATTGTTTCAGCTGAAGCACGCATGAAAGTTCGTCTGCAGTGAGAAGAAATAAGCGTGGTAAGCGTTCTGGACGTTTTCAGAGTAGTTGTGAAAAGCGAAGAAGACTATCGTATTCTACAGCATCCAGGTGACAGCCTACGACTGCATCTGTAAGTAAATATTTATTAGTTCTTTTGAGACTTGATATACAGTATGTTAAGCGTAAATGAGTACTGAGTTTGTTTCTGTTGTTGAACAATCTGATTTATTCTTATCTACTATTTTGAATCATGTATATGAGTTTCCTATGTGACAATGTTTATGTTATTGTATTAATCTGCTGAGGATTATGCTGAAGTCTGTTGAAGTTCTCTACATCATATGGGGTTATTATGGATGTTTTAACTTCCTTTTTTTCTATTATTGTGTGCAGTTTTAGTAGCTCATCTGTTTCTGAACCCTATCCAAGTAAGTAATCTAGAGGTTGGCTGTACTGCAGCATTGCTATGTGATCATATAGAATCACAAAGTGGTGGCTATAAATGCCTGTTTAGCAGAAAGGAGTGAGGTATTGATGATAGCAGCCGCTTTGTTTATCGGATCAACTGATGGAGAATACGCGCAGAGTCACGTCGTTAAATGCTCTATTTGGACAAGTCTCACCGCTAGGGTGGTGGTACAGGGGTGAACCTGAATTCCAAGAATAGGTCTAAAGCGGGTATAGTTACATTTGTAATATTACTGTGAACGGTATATATTTTGTGTTTAAGAGGTCATGCGCTTAAATGACGCTGTTTCATTATGGAATGTATGTTGAATGTCGAAGACAAGAGATTTGGTAAGGGAATGTTTATTAGGAATTTGGTGTGTCTATATAGCGGAATTATGTTCCCTTTATCTGCAAACGGTGATTCACACAGATCTTCTGTGTTGCTCTACTTCTGCCCCACTTCGTATTGTGCTTTTTGTCTTCTTTTCGTGTCTCCCATGTTTTATCGCGACACTGAATCATTTGCTCTCCTTGACGTCAAATCTCTCTCTCTCTCTCCACTATTTGATAATTTTAACTTGGTGAACATCTCTAAAAAAAAAAAAAAAAAAAAAAAAAAAAAAAAAAAAAAAAAAAAAAAAAAAAAAAAAAAAAAAAAAAAAAAAAAAAAAAAAAAAAAAAAAAAAAAAAAAAAAAAAAAAAAAAAAAAAAAAAAAAAAAAAAAAAAAAAAAAAAAAAAAAAAAAAAAAAAAAAAAAAAAAAAAAAAAAAAAAAAAAAAAAAAAAAAAAAAAAAAAACTATATACTACTGGTAAATTTCATCAGCAACACACGCCACATTCTTAAGTCCCGTTCAACAACAAAATGTGAATGCAGACTTCCTCAACGACTTTGTATTCAGTCTGTTAACTAATAGGTGTTTTTCATTTCTCGATAACTTCGTGATCAGGTTCTACGGTTATATATCCAAGATAATGAGAGAATGATTGTTATTGGCAACAGTGTTTTTTATGGGTGACAAGGAATCATTAACATCAGAATCGCAAAATTTATTTTCAAATAGATTGTTATAAAAGATCATAGTGCGAAATATATGTATGTGATAATAGGTATAATTGTACCACTAAATGGAACACCAATATTACGAAGTAAATGATTATGAATGACAAGGCCGATATAAATATATGAGTGAATTGTCGTGAGTCATGTTCATATTAAATTCTACTCATATTAGTTATAAACTTCAGGTGAAGAATGATCATTGTTAAGGACGGTAGAGGTGTGAGTGGGATAAGAAATTTGCGGTAGAAGGTTTTGTGCGTTGTGTGTGTGTGTGTAAGTTGACCACTGAGTATAATTCGGAAATCAAAAGTTTAGTACATTTGCAGTAACGAGGGGTAGGGGAATTTAAGTGTATACGAAGGAGGACCGTATAAAAACAGGTCTATTCAATAAGGTATTCGGGAATTTGCAGACTCCACAGCAGGCTAGTGCAGTGATAGTGGTTTCTTAATGATATAAGTATAAAACTTGGGCACTGTGATGGCACAGTGGTTAGGACTCTCGCTGACTATGCACATCGTCCGAGGTTTGATTCCCTGCCGACGGACACGCGATATCTATGGTCGGCCTGCAAAAATTGGGCTAGCGATATCACATGCTGAAAATTCCATACTTGTAAAAAATACAGTGTGGAGTCAAGCTGTAATCAAAATAAAAAAATATAACTTCATTATGCATAAGATTTTATTTTGATAAATCACACAGTGTTGTACAGTTATATTAACTGATGACGTTTTGAGCACAAACTATTACTCATAATCATCTGAAGTTACACAACTTTTTTCTTTCACTTATATACATGTGTGGAATCGATTAGATATTGGATTAAAAATCATTGTGAGACAATGTGCATTCAGAAATAATAGTACGAGTGTTATTGACCCATTACAATTATATGGGAAATACGAGTGTTTTATAGTCATAATAAGTTACATGTTAGAATGTTGTGATGTGTTTGAATTGAAATAGAATTTTAAGATTATTTATTATCCTCTTCTGATTTGACCTGTGGTAATAATATCTTCCATATTTCTGGTATTTGCATTGAGTCATTTCTGTTGCATGTGTTAAGTGTAGTAGACTCGATGAATAAGGATTCCGTAATCAACCTCCCTCTCCACCTACGTATATTACTTTTTAGAATCTTGACCCTATCCCACCCTATTGTGTGGTTGTTTGTTGATGCGTGAAGTGCAATAGCTGAGCCTTTTTCTAAATTACTTATCTTTCCAGGGCCAACCATTCTTCCCTTAGCTAAATTCTTATGTTCTGATAATCTGACTATCCCCGACGTACTAGTTTGACCTATGAAGTTGACGTCACAGTCATTGCAGGGTATTTTGTAAATTATATTGTTTTGTCCAATTGGGTCCACCGCGTCCTTTAACCTATAGAGCTCGTTCCCTGAGTGAGTTTGTAGGTTTAAATGCCGCTCTAATTCCTGTTTTATTAAGAATCCTACGTAGGGTCTCACATGTCCCCTCCTTATATGGTATAACAGTAGACGACTTATATTCTCTCTTATTTATTTACTAGTTTCACAATTATTTTTGTTTTGCTTTTGGCCTTTTCTGATCTTCCTAATGACTTATATT